GGCTCTGGACTCTTCTAGTCCCTGTGGAGTCCAGGACACTGACACAGGACAGATTTTTGATTTTTTTAACTAGCATTTTGCCTTTTTAATCACTGCAATGAAAAATATATTTTTTAAATACTAAGCTATACAAACACTTTTGCAAAATGCTTTTTAAAACTAGTTTAATGTTTAATGATGGCAGGAACCTTATTCATTTTTAATTAAAAACTTTTTATTTTTTATTTTAAAAAAAGCCAAATAGGTGTGAGGGCACTGTCCAAAAACATTGGTTGTGAGGGTGATTACAAATACAATGTGCTGTAGTTTCAGCTTTCTTTTAATCCACCACATTGTTACAAACATTCCTTGAAATGAGGCTGATAGTACTTTCACTCCTGAGGTATTAAAATACAACACAGTTCTAACAAGGAGTCATGGATTATACTGCAAAAGAGTACCTAGAATCCTGTGCAATGTCAAGAAAGCACAATTATTTTAAAACGTCTAATGTCTGCAGTTTAATGGCCAGGCCCACTGAAAATAAACTTAAACCTCTAACATGTAAACCTGTGGTCAGTCATCACGCACTACTGACGTTTTAATTTATTGATTGACCTAACTTTGTACTTGGGCAAGCCTGTAAGAAAACTCTAGCTCTGTTTTCGGTAGTCCAGCCTCTGTGGAAAATCTTGGGGAAAATCCACAGAACTTCCTGTCCTGAAGGGCTCCAGTTCCCACGGGGCCACGTGTCCCAGACCATCGCTGCTTCCAGGCGACCTGACAAGCCGGCGGCAGACGCAGACTGGTGGAATCGGCACAAGGAGCGGACCGGACCAGAACCCATTCCTAGACGTCCACCGGACCGGACCAGACCACGGCAGCTTGAGGCCAGGGCAGCAGCTTTTCAACCTACACGTCCCGCAGCAAAAAGCTTTGTTTTGTTTTTTTCCCCTGCTGTTCTTGATACGTCCTGATCTAGTAAACAGGATCCTGGCAGCAAACCGGACCAGGGACAGCAGAGGGGCGGTTTCATCAGGGGCCCGCTCACTACGCCACCCTCGGCTCACCCTCGGCGACGAGCTTCTAGTTGTGGAGACGGGTGCTCGGTGGTGAAGGCTGGGCCCTGCGGTTTGGCCAGATGGGTTCCAGTGACAGACTGAAGGAACTCCCTCTTTTAGGTGCGCGGCACGCTTTTCTGGACACCTGTTAGAATCCGGTGTTCCTCCAATGGCACGGATCAGCTCTGGAGGCGGGGGTGACCGGGGCCGCGGTGCCATCGCAGAACCGCGTAGCAAACTGGACAGGCGTGCTGAGAGGCCTGTTCCTCTCGCTAACGCTTCTCTTGTTCGACGTGATTGAACCACCATTCCGAAACATCGAGGCTGGCGAGGGCGCGGCAGGCGGCGCTTTAGGAACAGCCCAGCAGGACTGCGGCCTTTGAAGACCAGAGGGAAGGAGCCGTGGTGGGGGCCCGGCCCCGGCCCCGGCCCCGGCCCCGGCCCAGCCGACACAGGGCTCGCTCCGATTATCCCTGCGATTCCGGCTGGACGCTGCGGGACAGATCCGGGCCCGTGGTGAAGGAGGCGGGAGGGGGCGTGCCCGAGTGATGAGAGTGAGGCGACATGCCCGCGCCCCAACATCCCCCCCCCCCCCCCCCACCCATCCCGCTGTCTCAACAGGCTTTCTTGGCGCCACGCCCGCGCAGGAGCCGGAGGAAGCCCAGGCTGGCGCTGAAGACGCGGTCGTGCTTGAAGACCATCTTGAAGAAGGCGTCCAGGGGCAGGCGCCCGCTGGGGTCGGCGTGCTTCAGCGTCGTCAGGGGGGTGTAGAGGCGGTTGGTCTGCAGCCGGAAGGGGGGGCTGTCGGCCGTGATCACCTGGAATGTTTGCTGCGATGGGAAAAAAATTGGAAAGCAAAAGCGGGGGTTATAGGCCGAGGAGACTGGAACCGCACTGGGCAGGCCAGTGACCCGCACGAGGAATATTTTTATTCCCAGAAGCCAATCAAGCGGTCAGTTAAAAGCCCCTAAATGGACAAGCACCACTCTCAGACTGCGGCACGATGGGGCAGGACTTGCCCAGCCTTCAGAGTGGGCCCATGTGTGCAAACCCGCCGCGCTGAAGGTATTTCCCTCTGTATGAGACCTAGGGGCAGCTCCTCAGCCGACTGCGCTACCTCTGCGATCTCCTCGGGGGTCTGCCCCAGCGCGGCGAAGATCTTCCGCGAGTACGGGAGGTAGACCTGCCGGAATATCCTGGCCGTCTCCTCGTCGGTGCCCGCCAGGTCCATGCCGTCCGCTTCCTCGTAGACCTTCTTCTCGAACTCCGTGATGACCGGCCCGGGCTCGATCAGGCTCATCCTGGGAAGGGGAGAGGGGGGGAAGAGGGAGGACCATTCGCTCACGCCAACTCCAAGCACAGGCGGTACCACCACCCCGGGCTGAGGAGCCTTATCCTTCTCGACCAGACGCCAGCAAACCTTAACTAGATTCCCGTGTGGGCGATCTGTGGAATGCTCTGGAATCCAGGAAAGCTCTGGGGTTGGAGAGCAGAGGCCCCGCACTCACCTGATGTTGAATTTGAGGGCCTGCACCGCCAGGCTCTCGCAGAAACCCTCCACCGCGAACTTGGAGGCGGAGTAAACGTCGTTGAAGAGAAGACCTGGGGCCCCCGGGGGAAGATGGGTTCGGATGAGAGGATAAGAAAGAGAGACGAGGAGAGAAAATTAGCTATGCCCCTGGAGGGCTGCAGGAAGTCACAGGGCAGTTCCCAGACAGCTGATGTTGAATCTTCCGAAAAGGCCTCTTCTGAAGGAATAACAGTCACATGAAAATGGATCTTCCCCTTTTGTGCTCTGAATACTCTCATTCTCAAAGGCCTTTTATCGTCTGTGTATGGCCCTAGTGTTTCCCCAGGTTTCAAGGCAAGCACATCCATTTCATCACAGTATGCAAATGGGCCCACATGCCAGTCATACAATGCATAGCCTGGTGGGAAAAGCACCAAGGCAGCAGACCGGCTACACTGGTTACAGCCATAGTCAAGCTACAGGTCATGCCTGCCTGGGTTCTCCAGCATCAAGCTCTACAAGCTCATCAAGGTTAGCCCGAGGACCAACTTCCCTGTTGTGGAAATAATGGGCGCAGGCCACTGAGTGTTTCCCCACGAGTCCACTAGGGGGCGAATTCCTAATATTTTCACCCATGAGAAGGTAAATGTCAATTTCCTACCAATTATATGAAAGAAGCATGGACCCGCCCCCCCCTTTCCACCCCCAGCTGCCCACCCTGGATGCCCATGACGCTGCTCATCACCACGATGTGCCCGTCCTGACGCCTCTTCATGTCCGGCAGCACCTCCCTCACCAGGCGCGCCAGCCCGAAGAAGTTGGTGTCGAACAGCCGCTGCATGGCGCCGATGCTCTGGCACTCCAGCGGGCCGATCATGCCCACGCCCGCGTTGTTCACTGAGGAGAGACGCCAAGATGCCAGGGCGGCACGCACACGCACAGTAGGAGGAAATGATCGTATATCCTGTTTCAACACCACTCTGCAGGCCCGCGGGGCAAGAAGTGGTTCTACAAACTCATCACAGTGTGCCAGTCACTTCTGACTTTTTTCTCGGCTTTTTTATGTGAGAGACGCACCTCTGTGCTTCTGGAATGAAACGTACTGTAGGAAAACCGTCATTCCTGACAAGAGTTTAAACCAGTTAGGGGCTAGCGTTTACAGCTGCAGGGGACGGGGTTCCCAGAGCCCTGCTCCAGGCCAGCACACTGCTGCAGCTGTGGATCCTGAAGAATTACATTAAGACAAAGCAGAAGGCATATTTCTTGCTTTTGAGCTCAACAACTTCTGCCTGGCACAAGGCCCACGTAAGGCTGTGCGCCTGTAAGTCTGTCTCACCCAGGATGTCCACCTGGCGGGAGGGGATGCTGTCCACACAGCTCCTGATGGAGTCCTCGCTGCAGGCGTCCAGCTCCTTGATCTCCAGGGTCCGGTTCAGGGCGCTCCCTGCCGCCTGCTCCAGCGGGCCTCTGCGGTCCAGATCCCTCATGGTGGCCACCACTGCCAGACGGGGGACTATGCATCAGCAAAGGCCTCCCTTACACAACTTTTACCCCCATAGCTTTTTTTTTACTGTGTGTTATTCCATGTGTAGGAATACAGCTTCTATACCGTCAGACAATAATGATCATGATACTTGAGGTGCCTCTGACCTTTGAACCTCTTCAGCTCATCCTTGGCCAGACGTACGGCCACAGCTAGCCCAATCCCCGAGGAGCAGCCTGTTACCAGCACGGTCTTGCATGCCATGGCGCCGCCCTGCTGGATGCCTATGCTACAACAGGTAAAAACACATGCCCTTTTTTTTTGTCATGATATAAATGGAAACCACGTGCTTATCAATGTTAAGTAGGCCAGGCCCCGTAAGAAAGGTATGACTTTTTTAGCACAGCACACATGATCTCGGTACAGTTCTTACTTCTAGACTCACTTGATCACTGCACATTTATCTCCAGCAACTCAACAACAATAGCTAATAAATACTGCCTATGCAGGAGTACTGTACCTCCAGCTGTAGGGAGACATTTATAATGCAATCAAGGATAATGCTAAAAATAAAGGCTGGTACAAAAAACCTTTGGTATGCAGATCACACTGATGAAAACTAACAAGCTAAAGTCCAAAACGCGTGCAGTGTGTGCAGTGCCTGTCACCGTCACATACTCACTGGGACTGCAACCCCTGTTCCTGCTTCCTCTGCAGGGTCTGGTCCGGGAAAGGAAGCTACCGGCTATCAGCGCCCCTCCTCATCCTCCAGAAAAGCAGGAGTCTCTTCCTGGAGAGCCCGGGACGGACAGCGTGCCCCCTGTGACCGGGTCACGGGGAATCGAACTGTCCAGGGAAACACAGGGCTCTATTGAGTTTCCTCCCTGTCACATGCGCACACACACACACGGACCAGTGGAGCAGCCTGATCTGGCACTAAGCCTTTAATCCTCTTTGTCCCGTCGCAGCATGGCGCGACGGAGATCCCTATGGTTACCCAGAAGGTCTTTAACCCTTTCAGGGGAGGCTGGCCTTACCGGCTCGTCTCCCGCCCTGAGGCCCGGCAACACAACTCTTAATTCCTTCCGTGAAAAGGAAGCGCTTTGTCTGCAGTGGCCTCACATTCATTAGTAACCCCCCCTTCTCCCCTTCCTGGAGGTGCCCATCGGCCCCATGAATTCTCAGCCTCCTACCAGTGGCAGCTGAGGGGCGCTGTGTGCAGGAGCTGCTGCAGTAATCAGATGCAGAAATGGCTTTGCACACGCAGCACGCGTGTCAGGAATTCACTGTCATGGGTTTCTGGGGTGTCGCTATTGCAGAACTACCCAAGACCTGCGTTTCAGCTTCATAACACGGTTTCACCGACGTGTGTGCAGTACAGGTACCCTCTGCGAAGCAGTGTCTGTGCTCTCGTGTTGCTGCAGAGGCACACACAGAGTGGGGAGGGACACTGTGCAGCCCCAGCCCAGTGACTTAATGCCCAATCAGTCAATCAGTCCTGGAGCGACATCTTGTCACAGAGCACTGATTCCGATTTCTATCGCATTTGAAAATATACAGGTTAGCCCCCCCCTCCTCCAGGCTGCCGGCTTGTGGCACCTTGAGCCATCGAAAAGCGGGGGCAATCCCTGGATGTCAGGGGCTGGGATCCTGCTTCTCAGCCGACCTGGAGACCTCTGGCCCAGTGACGTGCTTCAGAGGGATCGCTGCCGCTCCGGGGAGGAGGCACGCTTGGCGCGGCGGGGGACGAAATTACCTGAAATCGCTCACCACCCGGAGCGCTGATCTCCTCAGCCGGGGTTCGACTGCCCCTACCTGGAAGACACCCGCAAAGTCGTCACTTAACAGTTCAGCTGCAGGGAACTGCAGACGCTGCTTGGTCAGGTGTGTGTGTGTGGCGTAAGGTACAGTTTGGGTGGGAAAGAGGGCAAAATACAATGAGCATCTTCTTTTCACCAACTTGCACACGACTCAGGCACACCAGCGTGTCTTTATCTGCGATTGGGAAAACACTGAAGACATTCTGGACTTGTTGCAGCATAATCACAAAGTATTCGATATTATTGAGTTTCCTCCTTGACGCAGGATCGTGAAACGCGTTATTAAATCTTTATTTCAACATCGTATTTCAAAAACTCTCACATCCCTCTGGAAGCAGTCCTTTTTCCCTCATCCCAATAAAGACGTTAAGTAGCAGTAAAGCTGGCGTCCATATTGATTGCTGAAGCAAATTAGAAGCCGCTAATAGGCGTCAACGAAAATAACAGTGAATAACAGTACTGCCCTTACAGCGTCTATCACACTGGCAGATCATTTAAAATACAGATCATTCTGTTAGCTGTACAAGATGCCTCGTTACAACCTGGAGTCCTGGCGTAAAATAACAAGAGTTAATCTAGGTAACGCTGTATTTTTGTATTGCGGTATTACAGATTGTTTCAACAGGGAATAAACTCTGGGACTGCTAAACTAAACGGTGGTACGCATTTACTGTAATACACACGCACAGTACCCATAATTCAGGTAAATTACCTCGGTTTTAACAAATTACACCTCCGTTTACAGAGATCTAAAACTGCAGGGGCTTAAACACAATTTCACCCACCCCCACTCAAAAAAGAGAGATGCTGCTGCACTGTAAGCGCCGTTGTAACTGAGCTCGCCACAGCCAGTTCGCGTAAAAGAAGAATTTTGCCAGAACAGCAAAGTCTTTACTTCCAACCTGCGTTCTGCAAGCTCACCAGAAACCGTCCATCGCTGATCGTTTATGCAAAAACTTTCCCCGTTTTGCGCTACAGAAGTTTACACGTCTGTACCCACATCGACAGCGCATCACCAGACTGGTCCTGGCTACTGTATGAACACATCAAGGCTGGCCGGAGGGTGGAGGGTGGAGAGGGGGGCTCCGAGCGAGGGCGGAGGAAACGCCGTGGGTCGCTCGGCGCGGTGCTTTCTGGGGATTGTAGTTTAATCGGTTGCGACTTCTCTCTTTTTTTACGGCTTTGTGTAGGTTTGCTTTCATTATTTCATTAATCGGGAGCTCGTTTTGTTAAAATAAAAATTCTGCGGTCCATAGTTTAGAATGACTACAAGTAAAAGTTCAAATATTGAACGTACTTTTGTAATTAAATTAGAACTCAGGGATCCGATATTTTATAAAAAAATCAGTTATAAATAAATGTCACAGTACAAATGCCAGGGTCAAGACATGAACCTGAGATGTTTACGTAGGATACAACTCCACGTTTTACCTACAGCCACGACTGGGCTTTTAAAAACTTTCTTTAAACAGAAAGACGGCGGTGTGCAGAGTCAGCATTGCGCTGTTTGCTGAGATGAAAGCACCAGAGTCGCATGGCCTCTGTAAACAGAAGAAAAAAAAAGTTAGACCCGAGCAGTCTTTGCTTTAGTCTTTACTTCGCTCGTACGAGGGAGGTATGGGGTTCAAGCTGACAGTTCATGCACGGTCCTGGCGAAATGGCGCCGCCTAGTGGCGGTAGCCGCGCTTGCGCCAGCGAGCAGTGTGAAACCGAAAGTAGGTGTGAAGGAGACGCTCGGGGCTGCAGGGCAGCGGCCGCTTCTGCAGGAGCAGGAACGCGAGCGAGTGCAAACGCAGGCCCAGCTGTTAATAGTAGCAACACCAGCCCGCAGCTGCTGCAGTGCGGCCGTGCGCGTCCGCCACACACAGTCGGCTTCAACCCGAGCCATGGCTCGCAGGCTTCAGGATGAGGTGGTGGAGGTAGGGCAGTTGGAACAATTATTTTTCCGCTTTGCTGCTCATGAATTCTTCTGCTGCATTGTGGTTTTTTTATTATTATTTCGTGGTTTGCGGACCAGTGCTTCTCGAAGGCGCTTCCCGCGGTTACTTAAACCCACAGCGCAGTTCAACGGCTTATTCTGCGACTAAACTTCGGGTTTTGCCACAGCGCCACCCCTCCTGCTTGCTCGGGGGGAATCGGCGCCTGGCTGACTCCGGCAGCGTCGGCTTTCTAACCGGATACGATTGGTGTCTGTTAGGCACGTTTTTACGGAAAAAGGCTGGGAGGCCACGGTGTAACTTCACTTTGAACTCGTACAGTTCCCGCCCCCCGTTTTTTATTAAACGTAAAAAAAAACTTCTCCCCACCTGTCTCTATCTGGTGTAAGACCGTCAGTCTACCGATCTGTGCGACTGTCTGTTATTTCCAAACCTGTCTCTCGGTCCGTCTAGGTTTTAGAGGAGGCTGAAAAGCGGTGACACGCAAAGAAAAAAAACACTTCTCCGAACTTCATACCGAAGTGTCACATCGTTAAACCGCCCCTCTCAGTCCATCTCCAGAGGCGCACACGCACTGACCCCAGTTCGGGTCACCGCGCTTGTGGGCGCACGTCAGATACCCCGGGCGCCTGTCTGTTACGAGGACTGTATCCCTCGGGCTGAGCTGCACAGGGAATAGGCAGGCCGGACACCCCGGCAGGGCCCGGGTCTGTCGCCTGGCAACACCGGCACCCCTGGACGGCTGTAGTGTAGTCATGGCTACTGTAGGTCTCCCTGGGGGGTGGGGGTAAGGAAATGACCCTCCACCTTTTATTTTTTGCTTTTTTTTCTTTTGCTGTTGCAAGCGGTGTGGAGTGCACTGGGGGAGAGAGGCGAGAGGTGGCCGGTAGCTGAGACACGGTTGTCCGGGTTTTTCCTTTGCGTTTGCGTTTTCAAAGTGCGCTGGCAAAGGTGTCCTTATGAAGCCCTGCCCTGCCAAAATGGGAGATGTTAGCCTGGGGGTCAGTGTCCCGGACGTCTGAGAAACAGGCACCGTCCCTGTGTGGTGTCCGCGCGGACACAGACTCCCGGCGCACAGCAGTTTGACCCATTTCAGGATTCACCAGCTCTGAGGGTATGATTGGATGTGGGGATGTTGATATTGGTAACTCCTCGTCTTTGTGCGCCGTTCCCCTCCAAGTAAGGCAGCTGTGGACATCCAGCAGGCAGGAGCCGGTAAAACCTGGACTGGACCAGGGCTGCCGTGACTCGGGTCCCCACAGGCTGAGCACCACCGCCGTTAGGTACTTGTTAAGCTTGTCAGTGTGTGGATGGAAGGAGCGGAGTCTGTCTCTGCAGGAGTCACAGTCGGGTCCCGGGACAGAGCGCCACCGCCGCAGTGTCTGTAGAGCGAGCGACTCCACTGCAGGAAGAGGAGAGTTCATGAAGTAACAGTCCCAGCTTCCTCCTCTCTTTCCCTCGCTCCTCACTTATCTCACTCTGCCTCTCTCTCCTGCCTCATCGCTCCTCCTCTCACCTCCTCTCTCCAGCCCTCTCCTCCTGTCTGCTCCTCTCTCTGACTCCCCGGAGTGACTCTGTGTGTTCCTCCTTGTCCACCTCAAGCTGGAGAAGAGTGTCCGGCGCCTGCGAGAGCAGTTCTACGGCAAGGTCTCTATCGAGGTTGCCACGGTGCTGATGCGTCGCTATGGTAACAACCACCAGCTGGTCGCCATGGATATCATCCTGATGAAGGACAGAGGTTAGGTGACAGTGTGGCTGAAGGAGGTGGCGGGGGGGGGGGGGTTTACCTGTGACACATTGGGTTTTTCAACACAAGCAGCTCGCATTCCCTACACCAGGGGGCGCACAGCTCTGGTCTTGGAGGGTCACCGGTCCTTCTTGGCTTAGCTGGATGAGGTGAACGTCTCCCCCCAAGTGACCAGCAAGACCTCCAGGACCAGAATCCCACTCCACCTGCCCTACACGGTCGCCCCCAATCGTGACCCGCTGTAGCGAAGCTTGGTGACTCCGGCCCCTGCAGTGGTGCACATGATGAGTCCGCCCTGGGAGAGGCCCACATGCAGCAAAAAGATCTGAGACGCACAGGAAGACGGCGTGAAAATCCGAGAATGTGCCGTGCTGGTGACCTGTCGCCAGCAAGGGTGGTTGAGAAAGCCAGCGAATCGCCCGCCCTGAGACGGAAGGCACAGGGATTTGGTTTTGCAGTGGAATTGCACACTGTAAAGTCAGGCTTTTTAGTTCCTGGCCTTCCTTTCCCTCAAAACAAGAGTACTGGTCCCCCCTGGTGGCAGACAGGAGAGATGAGGTCACAGGGATTGTGGCGGGTCCGCACAGGCAGTCAGTCGCTGGAGCCGCTGGCGGTGCAGCTGGATCCAGGGGGCTGTGGCCTGGGAGCTGGCGAGGGCATGGTGCTCCCGGCCCGCCGGGTCTGCTGGCCCCCTAGGTCTGGCCAGGGCCTCTGTGTGCGGTCAGCCGGGTGGACGGGCTGCTCATCATGGTCTCTCCCTTCTGCGCAGGGCTGGACGAAGAGGACATGATGTGCTTGAAGAGAGACGCGGTGGTCAGGGTAAAGCTCCTTCCCAGAGTGCACTGGGGCTGCCTGGAGGAAGGGAGGGGGGAGAGTAGAAGCATGGAGGGGCAGGACAGGGGTAGAGAGAGGGAGGAAAGGGGCAAGAGAGGACACGGAAAAAATAGAGAAGGAAGAAGGGGAATGCTGGTGTTCAGCTGAGCTGAAACATGTGTGTGTGTGTGTGTGTGTGGGGGGGGTTACTGTTTCACTGTAGACGACCTCCTGCTCTGTGGGTCGGCGTCAGTCTGGCCCGAGGGCCGTGCCTGTGTCCGCTCTCACGTCCCTCTGTTTTCTACCCCCTGCCTGTGTGCGCCCGTCCCGTTTCAGAACGTTGTTCAGAAGCTCCAGGCAGAAGAGCAGTCCCAGGAGCTCGCCCCAGGCCCGGCCCCAGCCCCGCCCAGGGGCCCGCAGGTACGCTGGCGGCCCTGCAGGGTCACGCTGCGGTTGCACAATACGCGAGATGAACAAAGAGGCTTTATCTACTCGCTTTAGAGAAACAAAGCGGCTGTTGTTGGTCCTGTTCCAGTATCATGCAGTGGCACACAAGGGCAGGGACACTTCTGGTGTTGGTGGAGAGCAGGGACAGAAAAACATGAAGGGGTGTACCCTGGCTGCTTGAATCAGCTTCTTTTCATGGAGCGAGTATCTGGCTTCCCAGAACTTTATTTACAAGGGCAGTCAAGGGTAGAGCTGCAGACGTGTAACTGGTGGTCTGTGGGTTTGAGTCCCCATAGCAGCACCCTAGAGGGAGGTACTGTACCCCCTTTTGCTGCTGTCAACCCATTAGTATGAAAAGTAACCAGCGTGGCCGGAGGGGAACCCTGCGAGAGATTAGCATCCTCCAGGTCCATCCATCCTCTGGTCCAGGGGCCAGTCTCACTTAATGCTGCAGAAGCCGGGGTGACCTCTGACCTCTCTCTAGGCTGGAGCATGGTATTTTCTGCTATTTTACTGACCAGATACAGTCCTATCAGTCTAGATTTCAGTGAAACAACAGACGCACTGATCCATGACAAATGAGCTCTAGCACAAGGGATTCATGTCCTCAACCATCCTGGAAGCAGACTGAACATGTGGGAGAAAATCAGTGGGAATAAAATCTGAAGTGTAGAACAATCCTGCAGACTTTCGTAAATGCCATACCAGGGATGCAGTTACTGTTATGACACTTTTATTTAGTGTAATCTGGAAGGCGTTTCATGCAGTCTGGAGGCGTATCAATTGACATTATCTCTCAGCCTGAAACCAATGCATATTAAAGACCTGCGCAATACTCCACCTGTGAGGACCGAGCTCCTGGCATGAGTCTGATGTGGTGGAGATATACAGTATGTGGGCTAGTCCTGATGTTCCTGCAGCACAGCTGTGTTACATTACCGGAAAGGTGACGCTGTGCAGGATGTGGCAACAGGTCCTTGGCAATGGACCTCCGTGTGGTTAATCTGTTTCTCTCCAGCAGATCGCCCAGAAGAGAACTCCCGTCGACGATGGTGATATTAAGGTAAGGACTGGCTTTACTATTTTTGTAAGAGTTTAGGGACTGGGATACGAGTGCACGTTAATCACTCATTGGAACAGTATTAGCGCACACATCACTTATTGGAAGAGTATCAGTGCACACATTAACCTGTCATTGGAACAGTATTAGCACACACATTAATCACTCATTGGAACAGTATTAGCACACACATTAATCACTCATTGGAACAGTATTAGTGTGCACATTAATCACTCATTGGAACAGTATTAGTGTGCACATTTATCACTCTTTGGAACAGTATTAGTGCACACATTACTCATTGGAACA